AATAAAATAGATAAACCTTTGGCCAACCTAACCAGGAATAAAAGAGTAAAATATCTAATTTCATCAATCAGAAATGACAAAGACAAAATAACTACAAATTTCTAATTTCCTCAGAAATTCAAAAAATCCTTGATGAATATTACAAGAAACTCTATTCTGAGAAACATGAAAATCTGAAGGAATTAGACGAATACTTGGAAAAATGCCACCTTCCTAGGCTTAACTAGAATGTTAAACAGGCCTATATCAAGTTCTGAAATAGCATCAACTATCCAAAATCTCCCCAAAAAGAAAAGTCTGGGACCAGATGGCTTCACATCAGAATTCTACCAAACCTTTAAAGAAGAACTAGTACCTATATTACTCAACCTTTTCCAAAATATACAAAAAGAAGGAATACTACCCAACACATTCTATGAAGCAAACATCACCTTGATCCCCAAACCAGGAAAAGACCCAACAAGAAAAGAAAATTAAAGACCAATATCTCTAATGAATATCTCTAATTGAATATTAAAAATATTCAATAAGATCCTAGCAAACTGGGGCTGCACCCGTGGCTCAAAGGAGTAGGGCACTGGCCCTATATGCCAAAGGTGGCAGGTTCAAACCCAGCCCTGGCCAAAAACTGCAAAAAAAAAAAAAAAGATCCTAGCAAACAGAATCCAGCAACATATCAAACAAATTATACACCATGACCAATTGGGTTTTATCCCAGGGTCTCAAGGCTGGTTCAATACATGTAAATCTATAAGTATAATTCCAGAACACTTAAGAAAATGGGTATAAAAGGGACATTTCTTAAACTGATAGAGGCCATTTACTAACCCACAGCCAATATCGTATTGAATGGAGTTAAACTGAAATCGTTTCCACTCAGATTAGGAACCAGGCAAGGTTGCCCATTGTCTCCACTGCTTTTTAACATTGTAATGGAAGTCTTAGCCATCACAATCAGGAAAGAAAAGGTGATCCAGGGTATCCATATAGGGTCAGAAGAGATCAATCTTTCACTCTTCACAGATGATATGATTGTATATCTGAAAAACCCCAGGCATTCAACTACAAAACTCTTAGAAGTGATCAAGGAATACAGCAACATCTCAGGTTATAAAATCAACACTCATAAATCTGTAGCCTTTATATATACCAAAAATAGTCAAGCTGAAAAAAATAGTCAAGGACTCTATTACTTTTACAGTAGTGCCAAAGAAGATGAAATATTTGGGAGTTTACCTAACCAAGGATGCGAAAGATCTCTATAAAGAGAACCATGGGGCGGTGCCTGTGGCTCAAAGGAGTAGGGCACTGGCCCCATATGCCGGAGGTGGTGGGTTCAAACCCAGACCTGGCCAAAAAAAAAAAAAAAAAAGAACTATGAAACTCTAAGAAAATAAATAGCTGAAGATGTTAACAAACAGAAAAACATACCATGCTCATGGGTGGGAAGAATCAACATTGTTAAAATGTCCATATTACCCAAAGCGATATACAATTTTAATGCAATCTCTATTATACTTTAAAGACCTCAAAAAAATAATACTTCATTTTATAAGGAATCAAAAAAAAAAACCTTGAACAGCCAAGACATTACTCAGAAATAAAAACAAATCAGGAAGATCGATAGTGATCAAAACAGGATGGTTGGCACAAAAAACAGAGAGATAGATGTATGGAACAGACTAGAGAACCAAGAGATGAACGCAGCTACTTACTGTCATTTGATCTATGACAAGACAATTAAAAACATTCATTGAGGAAAAGACTCTCTACTTATCAAATGGTACTGGGTGAACTGGGTGGCAACCTATAGAAGACTGAAGCTAGACCCACACCTTTCACCATTAACTAAGATAGACTCTCACTGGATTAAAGATTTAAACTTAAGACATAAAACTATAAAAATACTAAAAGAAAGTGCAGAGAAAACACTTGAAGAAATTGGCCTGGGAGAATATTTTATGAGGAGGACTCCCTGGGCAATTGAAGCAACACCAAATATACATTACTGGGATCTGATCAAACTAAAAAGCTTCTGTACAGCCAAGAACACAGTAAGTAAAGCAAGCAGACAGCCCTCAGAATGGGAGAAGGTATTTGTAGGTTATGTCTCTGACAAAGGTTTAATAACCAGAATCCACAGAGAACTCAAACATATTAGCAAGAAATAAGAACAAGTGATTCCATCTCAGTGTGGGCAAGGGATTTGAAGAGAAACTTCTCTTAAGAAGACAGGAGCACAGTTTACAGACACATGAAAAAATGCTCATCATCCTTAATCATCAGAGAAATGCAAATCAAAACCACTTTGAGATATCATTTAACTCCAGTAAGATTAGCCCACATCACAAAATCCCAAAACCATAGATGCTGGTGTGGATATGGAGAAAAGGGAACACTTCTGCATTGTTGGTGAGAATGCAAACTAATAAATTCCTCTTGAAGAGATGTTTGGAGATCACTTAGGGATCTAAAAATAGACCTGCCATTAGATCCTGCAATTCCTCTACTAGGTATATATCCAGAAGACCAAAAATCACTTTATAACAAAGTGCAACAGAGTATCTACTGCAGCCCAATTCATAATTGCTAAGTCATGGAAGAAGCCCATGTGCCCATCAACCCATGAATGGATTAGTAAATTATGGTATATTTACAACATGGAATATTATGTAGCCTAAAAAAAAGATGGAGACTTTACCTCTTTCATGTTTGCATGGATGGAGCTGGAACATATTTTTCTTAGAAAGTATCTCAAGAATGGAGGAAAATGGCTCGGTGCCTATGGCTCAAGTGGCTAAGGCGACAGCCACATACACCTGAGCTGGCAGGTTCGAATCCAGCCCGGCCAGCCAAACAACAGTGACGGCTGCAACTAAAAAATGGCCAGGCGCCTGTAATCCCAGCTACGAGGGAGGCAGAGGCAGGAGAATCGATTGAGCCCAGGAGTTGGATGTTGTTGTCACTCTACCCAGGGTGATAACTTGAGGCTCTGTCCCAAAAAAAAAAAAAAGGAAGAAAAAGTTTCCATGTACTCATCCCTACTATGAAACCAATTTATAAGCACCCACACTTCCATATGAAAGCTATAACCCAACTACAGCCCAACAGGAAGGGGAAAGAGGAGTGGAAGGGGAGAGGAGAGGAGGGGAGAGTATGTGTGCAGGGAGGGTGATTGGCGGGAACACACCTCTGGTGCATTTTACAAGGGTACATGTTAAGACTACTGAGTGTAGAATATAAATGACTTAACACAATAACTAAGAAAAATGGTTAAATGCTATGTTAACCAGTCTGATGAAGTATTTCAAATTGTATATAAACCCAGCCCATTGTACCCCATAATTGCATCAATGTACACAGCTGTGATTTAATTTAAAAAAAAGAAGAAAATTAAAGACAAAAAAAAAAAAAGAATTTACTCTCAACTAAGAATAAAAAGAACAGCAGCTACTTGAACCCAATGCTCACTCACACACCAATGTCTCCTACTGTACAACTACCACTTCACTTCATTTAACTCTACACCCCTTACCACAGCATAACAGGCCCAGTGACACCTGAGGCAACCAATGCATGGGGCCAAAATGTTTCCAGAGGGAGTGGCAGAGCCAGTATCAGAACCCATGTCCATCTGACCTCAGTACCCGGCCTTTCAATTACCGTGTTACCTTGCTCCACCTGCCTCCCTCTCCTACTTAAATCTACTTCAAAGGACCTACAAAAACACTCAAATCATTACTATTTTTAAATGGGAGGGAGTCTGAGTCTTCCCTACTCTCTCTCCATCAAGTTTCCACCTCATCTTTCTTTGTGCCGCTCTTTCCATCAAGATTCTGGAAAGAGTGGCCCCTATACATCACCATCTCCCTCCCCTTCAGTCCACAACCCTGAACTGGTCACCAGGCTTGGTCTCCACCAGTGTGAGGAAAGAGCTCTGATGCTCAGCTCCTCGGCTTCTCCCACCCTGGTGCTCACTCCTCAGGCCCTGGAAGGTGCTGACCTGGGAAGCTGGGTTTTCTTTATTCTCCTCCCTACTCTCTGACATCTCACCTTACTTTGCTCTTGCTTTCACGTTTTGGTGGCCTCTCAGGGTTCGACCTCCTCTCTTTGCACTCTTCATGGTCGCTAATTCCAGTTACCTTCAGCTCTTCACTGGCTCCTGCCTGCCTTTATGCCCTGTTTTCTACTATCAAATACCACCAACTGACCTGAATTCTAGCCACACAGCATTACAGAACTCCCCAGAGCCACTGTGCACGGTCACCTCTGTACAGGCCTGTGTTTCTGCCTGAAGCACCCCTCCTTTCTTGCTTCTCTTCACAAGCATCACAAACCTCTCTGCTTCATGGCTCCTTTCTATAGGAAAAAGCAGGAGCTAAACGCCTGGGCTCCAGAGTCAGAGACAGAGTTCAAATCTCAGCTCTACCATCATTAGCAGTTAAACTCCTAATGCCTCAGTTTCCCTATGTGTAAAATAGGATGAAAGTGAACTCATAGAGTCACTCTGAAGCTTAAAAATAAGGAATGTGCAAAGTGATTACTGAAGCAAATGCAGAGCAAACACTTCATTATTATTATCCCAGCCCTTCCACATCCTCCAGATAAAATTGGCCACTCTCTCCTCTTCGGCCTCCCAACCCATGGCAACATTTTGTAAGCTGTATCAGAACTATGTATTTGCATTATTAGTTTCCTTCACTGGAAGATGAACTCTTCTGAAGCAAGGACTGTAGTAGATTCGTGGCCCCCAAGCCAAAGCCCAGGGGAGCCACTGCTTAAGTATTAACTGAAAAAAAAGAAGAATGACTCAATCAATCTAGTCATGATGAGGCAGAGAGGAAAACAAACATCATACCTCACCCCCAAATTACAATTTCACTGTTAGGGCATTTCCAAGATTATAGTTTAAAATGTGAATAACCTTGGGAAGAAGTGGTCAGTCATTCTTATCTTAAGCAAGAAAAAAATAAATAATCTAACCCAAATGCAAAGGATACGCCATTCCTCTGATACGTTTGATTTTTCCTGGATCTGTGAGCTGTACAGGCTTCAGGACCTTCCGTACAGGACAGGAAAACATCACTTCACCTCCTCCTCCAGGAGGCATCCCCCGTCGTATAATCTGTATGTGGAGTGAGAAATACGATGCTAGGACTCAGCTAACCAGTGGGTTACCCTGACACCCAACACAGGGAGGATTACACCAACAGGCTTTTCCTTACAAGGCAGATAGCTCTTTCATAGCTACTTGTCAACCCCTTCAAGACCAACAGCACCTTCTGTTAGCAACAAGAGGGCAAGACCTCTGCAGTGCGTCCAAGCCAAGGTCAAAGCAGATGACCCACGTGGTTCTGCCTCTCAACCTGTAACCTGAGCAGATCACTTCACCACCAGGGCCTATTTCAACCTCCTCAAAATGAGAAACGGGCCTCGTTCATTAGCTGCTAACTTCTTAGCCATCAAATACCCCCGTCTCCTTCCATGTAAATAACTGATCTATCAAACTCTACATCATTCAATAAAAATGAAGTCATTTCCCCTATTTAAAAACACCAATTTAACAGTCCCAGATGCTAAATAAACAGCTTACCATACTAAATTGGTACAATTTCTTTTAATAACAAACAGATGCTTAAATTATATCTACTAGGTTCTGGAAATAAATGCTGAAAAATCTCAAGAGCACCCACATTGGGAGCCCCTAACCATAAATCATATCTAGGATCATTTAGATCTGCAAGGTAATACACTCAAATCCTAACTCCACTACTAAGTAGCTGAGTGACACAGACAGACAAAGAGCGAGAAGAAATGGAATGAATATATGTAAAATGCTTACAAGAGCACCAATCAAAGTAAGTACAACATAACTGTTGGCTACTATTGTCAGAACTAAAGAGTCCCTTTCAATTCAAAGTCTGTAGTGTTTGGTTCATGAGCCCGTGGGTCTTCTAATAAATGGCGACTTTTTTTTTTTTGAGACAGAGTCTCACTCTGTTTCCTGGGTGGAGCGCTATGGGAACATCATAGCTCACAGCAACCTCATTCTCCTGGATTTAAGCAATTCTCTTGCCTCAGCCTCCTGAGAAGGTGGGACTACAGGTGCCCTCCACCAACCCCAGCTAATTTTTCCTATTTTTAGTAGAGACAGGGTCTTACTCTTGTTCAGGCTGGTCTCAAACTCCTGAGTTTGAGCAATCCACTCATCTTGGCTTCCCAGAGTGCTACGATTACAGGTGTGAACCACCGTGCCCAGCCAAATGGTGACTTTAAATGTGACACATACATACAGCTCTCCCAAAGAGTAAGAAAATGTTTTACATAGACACAGACGATAGTTCATATGTTCTTACCTTTAGCTCAAATGATTCACCATCAATCCCAAACTGTTTCAACAGAGGGAGTGCTGTTGCCTTAAGAACATCAACCTATGAAATTATTTAAAAAGAAAAAAAAAATTAAACCTTGGCCAGACAGAGGAGTCCAAGAAGGAGGCAATGCTTACTGACTAGGTAGATGATAAAACATGAGAAACAGAAAGGATTCTGGCCTACAACTGAGGAGATGGGCCTGGCTCTGCCCCTGAGTAACCCTGTGATTTTATAAGCCCCTTGACTTCTCCAAGTTGATGAACATTTCTCACTCCATTGAGAGCAAGTAAGGGAGTAATTTTCTTTCCCATGTTGTAGTTGAGGCAACATTCGTTACTCATTAGAAATGCAATACATGATTTGAATGTCAGCCTCTTGACATGTCAGTCTATGTGGAATCCACAAATGAATAAGACTACCTTCTAGTCACTGTGAGCACAAGATGCATCAACAAAAAGCACGGAGAAACTGCTAGACTCATATGGAAAACACACTGGGAAGCCCTGCTCTTACAAGTATAAACACTGCAGAAGAAATTACCAGTCTTTTTCATTAATCTTTTCTCAACATGGTACATGCTAAATGTTTAGAGCCAGTAGCCCATTGGGTCAAAGCAAACCAAACGAACTACTCAACAGCTAACCTAAGTACCCTAACAACCCGCACCACACAGGCACCTAAAGGGAAGGTGAAGATTCTGCTTGAAAGAATGGGACAGTGGGGAATGACAGCCTCACACTATATGATGCGGCACAAAGTCCCAACTGTAACTGCAACACCCACAGTTAATGACAAGACTTGGCCACATGTTACCATTATCTCTCACCCATTCAGAACTCCTAGAAAGTCTGGCTTCTTTCTTATTCATCTGTGGATTCCTCATAGACTAAAAAGTTGACATCCAAATCATGTATTGCATATCTAAGTAACAAATATTGCTTCTACTGCAACATGGGAAAGAAAACTACTCTCTACTTGCTTTCATTGGAGCAAGAGATGTTCCCCTCTTACCAGCAGAGAGGGCCTGCAGCATGAGCAAAGGGTGTAGGGAGAGCCCTAGTCCCACTCTAGGCTCTACTTCTATTAGCTGTGTGGCCTCTGACAAGAAAATCACAAGTATGTGAATTTCTTTATCTTAAAGGTAAGAGGCTCTATCCTGGCTGTCTCTAAGTTACCACCTTCTCTAACAGGCTAAGAAGCCTCAAAGAAATACTGTTCTATAACAACAGAAGTAGAACCAGAAGTAGAAGTAACCTGAGACACCCAAGAACACATTGAATAAATTAAGAGCAGCTGGAGAGAAGACCAAGCCAGATTCTGAAACAGTGGGAGGATGCAAGGAAGCAGGTTACTCTGGAATTAGGCACCACCAGCTCTCCCAGGAAAAAGGTGAGAAAACAGAGCATCCCTGCTGGCTCATCTTTCCTATACTGAGTCACAAAGGAAGAAGCCAAGTTTACTAAGAGGGTGAGCCAGAAACCAAGTGTAATTCCAGGTATAGTCCTGTCCCCATCCAAGTCTGAGGCCAGGCAACACAGTGCAGTGGGACAAGGGCTAGAAAGGCAGAGGCCCTGAGACCCATTCTGCCTCTTCCCAGCTCTTGGAGCTCTGTTGCCTCCTATATAAGATGAGAGCTGTGCTGGACACTCTATGGTCTCCTGCAGCTCTCCACACTCTAGTTTCAGCAGAATGAGAGTGGCCTACAAGTCCCAGTTAAGGCACACTGAGCGGTCACTCTGTAGTTGGGGGGGAAAGGCAAAGACCTGACCCCTCACAGCACTGGCACTGTCCTTCCAGTGCAGCCGATCAATCAACAAGGAGCTGTGATGATCCACACCCATCAATGCCAAATAGAGGAGTAAAAACTTGCTGCTCTTCAGTTACTTTATCTGAACACCCACCTCACTGGGCTGGTGAAAGAGTTAAACAACCTCACATATACACATCCACACACATGTACATTCCAAACAACGCCAAGCATATAGTAGGCAGTATTCTACTTCTTTTCCCTTCCCAGAAGGGAACTTAAAGGGAATGGAATCTTCACTCACCATTGGCCCAGCTGGTTGGCATCAGTAAATATTTACTACGGGTTCTGGTGCCATATCACTGAGATTCAGAGGAGACATTCTAGAACTTTTCTTTTCCTCAAAATTTCTCCCCATTTCCTTTCTTCTTGCCTCTAAGGAGAAAATGTCCCTTCCCCTTTCTAAGGTGTATCCCATCTCTTCTGCTTTCAATCTTTATCCCAGCTGGAATTCTGCAAGGACCCTCAGTTTTTTATTTTAATTCTTTCCTTTTCCTTTATAAGTGTCTCCTCAGCCTACAAACAAGCATGAGTTTCTGGCCCAGCCTAAAAAGAAATTCCAAACCTCAGCTCTTAACCTTCTGGAAGAATCTCCTAACTTGCCGTAGCTCTAGTTCCTACTCATTCCCAGTGAGTCAGTCCTTACACTTTCCAGTGAGCCTGCTCTCTCAAAGGTCAATGAAACTGCTCATAGGCCTATCCTGACACAACTCCTCCAAACATCCACCCACCTATCCTTGGCTTCTCCAAAGACTTGAAGCCCCACAGTCTTTCTGTCTCTAGGTCCTCCCCAACTCACACTCTAAACACACATTTCCCCTCCTACTACTCTTAGCCCCTTGGACCAGGGGACAAAAACTAACACTCACGGAGGCTAAACAGAAATTTAAATAACTCAGCGAGCTACAACCTGTATCCAGCTGGAGAGCTCACGCAGCTACTCAGCTCCCACTGATAACTGTGATGAAGGAACAGCCATTCAGCCCTGTTACATGGCCCTGCTATAAGGTAAAACCTGGGGCTTCAAACATGAAGAACCCAATTAGATACACACATACCACCACCACCACCACCACCCAGTTATCCTTCAACACCTGCAAGATAACTTTAGCCAAAAAGCCATCAGTGTTCAAACCTCAGCACTGACCAATCTCATCCAGTAAGTAAGATCCTGATGACATGTCTGAAGCTCCAGATGATAATTCCCAACTGCTAAATGGATATCCCCATGTGGTTATGGTGCCAACATCCCAGGAATAGGACCAAAATCAAACATGTCATCCATTATCCTACCACAATTTTAATCTTCCTGTGTCAAGCTCTTTCTGAACATCATCCCTCAAGTCAATCAGGACAGAAGTCATGGAGTCATTTAAGGCAACTTCCTCTCATCCCATCTTCAATTAGCTGTCAAGTAATGAAGTCTCTGTCTTTCATATCTGCCCCTGCCTCTCTACTTCCATCTCATAATATCCTAATTAGTTAACCACCTCTCCAATTTATCATTCACTCGACCTCCAGAATCATCCCCCCAAACCCCAAACTGTCTCTGGTTTCCCCTCCTCTAGAAACCCTGACACAAAGCATTATGCTTGTACTTCTAGCAGAACCCAGGGGTATTCAGTCTTGTAGTCTCCCTCAGTGGGCTCACAGCTGTCCTCCCCTGAGACCAGAAGTTCTTTAAGGGCAGAATCACTCATCTCATTTTGTATACAGCGACTAGATGCAGACATGAGATAATGAGGAAACCACACACAAGAAAAGAGTAACTTGAAATGAAGCAACCATGGAATGGACTGAAGAAGTTACTCTTTACCCAGGTTTAGGTATATTTATTTTACCCTGGGCTGGAGTCAGGTACCAGTCACACAGCTGGCAAAAGCGGACAGTCCTGCAGCATATGAAAACAAAATTTATTAATACTCTGCATAGCAGAGCTGCATTTCTGGGGAATTAACCGACTCTTTGTCATTGTTAACATATAAAACTTTTTCAGTACTGACAGTGAGAAAAGCCTAAGCTCATTGGGGAAGGAGTACAAACTGAGACCCAACACTACTGAGTCCCCTACACACCTCAGGGCACTTTCCCATTCTTTTAGGCAGCTCTTCTTCTTCCAATGTAAGTGGAAATATGCCTCCTTTCACACATTTAACCGAAGGGCCCATTTCCAAGAATCTTCCAGAAAATGCACAAAAAAGTAGTCATTTAAACTAAAAATTCTATGCTTATGCAGCATCTCTTGACAGTTTAAAAATTTCAGATCTTGTACTATATTCAGTGCCCCAGGGAAAAAAGTTTATGCAGCTGGATTTCCAAGAAGTAAGGAATTAAGTCTTTTACTGCCTAAGAACATATTAACCATTATTATATCCGAGTACAGGATTGGGGAACATTTTCATGTTGGAAGGCCACATTAATTAGGCAGTAATCAAATATGGTCACGTTCAAGAAACTTCATAAGATACATTTTAAAATGTAAATTATTCTGTAAAACTTGAACAGCTAAGTAATAATTCCACAAAATGAACACTATTCGTTAATTTTAAAATTAATCTTTTCATGGCTTTGTTATGTCTTTTTGTTGGAAAGCATCTGAATATGTGGTTGAAGGTCTGTACTTTCTTTCAGTTGATCCTCTAGATGGGTATGTGTCATCTTTGACCTTAAGGGTGTCTGGATTTGGGTTAGGAAGAAGAATGTAGATTTGCAGCAATAAACGAAGCAATAAGCAAAAGCAAGAAAGGATTTTCGGGCATGCTGCCAAAGGTGTGGGCATTCTGCTGCATTTCTCCATATTTCTATTGGATCTTTCTTAGAATCAGACAATGACTTTAAAATGTCATCTACTGAGCACTCAATTAATTTCACCTGTAGTTCTTTAGGTGCTACAACTAGGTGAGGCTGAAATACTAATTTGAGTGTGATGTCATGATACCCAAAGCCAGTGAAACTTTCACTATGTTTCTATCTACAACAGCTGCAGTGTTCAAATGATTCAGGTACATCAATAACTATTCACCTGGCTCGGCGCCTATAGCTCAACCGGCTAAGGCGCTAGCCACGTACACCTAAGGTGGCGGGTTTGAATCCCCAGCCCGACCCGCCAAACAACAATGACAGCTGCAACCAAAAAAAAAAAAAGCCGGGCATTGTGGCGGGCGCCTGTGGTCCCAGCTACTTGGGAGGTGAAGGCAGGAGACTCATTTGAGCCCAGGAGTTGGAGGTTGCTGTGAGCTGTAATGCCACGGCACTCTACCCAGGGGGACAGCTTGAGGCTCTGTCTCAAAAAAAAATAAATAAATAACTATTCACCAATAACTGTCTAACTGGGGAAAATACTGGTCTGAAATTTCCTCTTAAAGAAGAGTTTTGAAAAAGGATAGCTTTTTTTTGAAATGCTTGGATTTTTCTGCCACATATCACACACAGCTTCAGTTTTACCGTGGTAAGAAATATTCAGGTTGTTTTGGCTGGACGTTATATCACACAGAAATGCTGTGTCCCTTTAGAAATTTTCTTTCAATAATTCACACTGCTGATTTTATTCTGCATAAAATTTAACCATCTGTTCTCAACAGAGATAAAATATTAGCTAACACCTGTCCCTGCGATAGCCAACACACTTGAGAACTGTAGGGCAAACCACACTGAACACCTTATGGTTCAATTTTAGCATGTTAGAAAACTGACTATACTATGCTGCATTTGCACGAATTAACAATAGTTATCACTTGTTGCAAAGTGTCACTTAAAATACTAGCTTTAGCAGAGAGACTTTGCTGATGTAAGATACAATAAAAATAAAAGAGAGTGCCTGGATCTGTTAATATATTTTTTTAATTGGTGCAATAAACCCTTTATGTTTTCCTGTCCTGGAAGGTCTACTGTCTGTACACACACTCAATTAATTTAGCAAATTCAGTCCAACTTTAGGACATTTATTTTGAAAGCTAAAGATATGTATGCCCAGTGTTCTGTTCCCAAGAGTGCCCAAAGTGAGTAACCCTTTGTAACAAAGAAAAAATCTTTTGCTATGACCTGAATGAAGTATAAAACCTGTGCCAAGTCAGTAGTACAAGGTGATTCACCCAAAAAGTGATCAAATAATATACATTTTTCTTTTGAAGTACTGCATGAAGTTGTTCTGTTAAGTGAAAGGCTAATTCATGCTGCTGATCAGTTATGATCATCCTTGAAAGAGGCAGTTGTTTGTACTTTGAAACATTGTGGGGTCTCAGCATCTACAACTCTGACAATTTCTACCTCGCTGAATGGCTTCCCTTTGTTCCCAAGTATTTAAGCTACTTTGTAAGTTTCTTCAGTGGCATTATTTCCGGGTCTTACTGCCACTTGCTAGAATTGTCTTTGCTTTTGCTTTTCATTTTTAACCTCTGAATTACATCCCTTTATGCCTCTCCCTCTAATTTAAAATATCTGTGGTCCTGATGAGTGTTATAATGCTGATGATCATTGAATTTCTTTAAGGATGGCATCTGCAGTAACACAAAGCAAGCAAATGACCTTCTCTTTAGCAGAAACAAGGTAATATTACAATTCCCAATTCTCATTAAAAAATCTGTTTTCTTCCTTCCAGGTTCTCTTGGTCTTCTTTGACACAATGGGCTGTTAAGCAGACAGGATTTAAAAATACTATGGAGCTGTTCAGCCAATCACAAATTCCACTTCAAAGATAAACACGGTACACTGATGTCAAAAGTCGATAACAGATTGGTGTACCGAACCCCCATAAACGCTTGCCAACCAGCCTCCTGTGGCAATGGGGCAAGCCAAGCAGGGAAAGCTAGAACTAAATCATGACTGTAACAGCTGTCAATTTAACTCTTGTGGCTTACTAATGCTCCTTCTACTTGTGCCAATCAATCTGGAAGGATTATTTGCTGGAACTTACTTTATTCTTTTGTATTTTAAATATGTTTATTTTAAAAATAAAAATATAAATGATGAACAAAAATGTATTAAGAAAAATAAAAGGATTTGTTCTGTACAATTTGGATTCAGTCAAAAGGTAGCACCTAAAGGACCTAGAACAGAAATTTTCAACCAATGTACCAGGATCTTAAATGTACTTTGAAAAATCTTGAAGATCATTAATTATTCAAAAGAATAATTTTCAAAAGAAGTTCTATTTTCAAAAGAAGTTCAAAGCAAAGTGTATTTTTTTTTTTGATCAACATAATTGAAGTGTGCCACACATGTTTATTTATAGGTTCAAGTGTGCCATGAGATAAAAAAAAAAAGGTTGAGAAACACTGACTTAGAAGACCAGGTTCCCCACCCTGCCCCAAGTAGGTAGTAATCTTGCTAAATACCAGTAATCTCCATTTGGGGCCTTACTGCACCACCTAATTGGTCCTCCCTGATTAGGATAGCTACACCCTTCAGTTTCTGCCTCAAAAGCTGCCCATTCATTGATATTAGCCTATGTCTATAGTGGTAAAGACAAGTATGCCTCCTCAATCAGGACAGCTTTAAAACACCTTCCCTGGGGACAGCAAGGCATACAAAAGTGGGGAATCCGTCTTTCCCTACAAGATGACTAAGGCAGATCCAAAAAGGCTTCTCTAATCTCTTTCTCTCTCCCATACCCACATACAAATCCACACACACATATACACACACATTCATCTCGGACTGGCACTAATACAGCTGTGATGATACACTGAAAATTTTAGCTTAATTTTATTTAATATAGATATTAAGTTGTTCTGTCTGTATCAGTAGAAAAATTAGCATGCCTAATAAAAAGCTTGCTGCTTGCTGGTAACCCACAAACTATCAAAGTTCACACATTCCTTCCCTGCCTGTAAGACCTTTTTCTAAATCTGCAAACTCTTTTCAAAAGATAGTCCTAAATTTTATTATTGAAGCCTGGATAAGTCAAGATAATGCTGTGGCAATGCCAATAACATATTATTTCTTGCCTAAAATTCTGGCCTGTTGCCTGGCAGCCTCAGCTATCATGACCTTACAAAAACACTCTCACATACTCCTGGCCAACAGAGCTATATTACATGTCAAACATGATGAGAAGGCAAGCATCTGTTTTGAAGGTTCTTAGCATGGAAGTCACCTTGGTAGCTATCAAATATTAACAATCATCCTGAATTTGATGATTATAAGTCTTGGTTTATCTGCCTCCTGGAGTGATTAACTCTGAATCTCAAGGTAAAAAGCCAAAGAAATGCACTTGAAAATAAAATTGTTATCTATAAGGAACTTTTTTCTGAGAAGTTGGATTATGACAAGAGCTTAAACAAAAATCATGGTTTGGCCTCAATACTCACCGAAGGATCAACTTGGTCATTGGTCACTCCTCGCAGAACTACTTTTAATGGGTGCTTCATAAATGGAGCCAGGCAAAGAAGACTCTCCAGATAATAGCCAATGCTGCGAAGGACACTACAGTCATGTTCCACAAATCCACCAGACAGGAGGCCAGGCTGATAATATAAAGTTGTTCCTTAAACCCGAAGAAAAAGAGTCACATTCAGCAAGAAAAAAAATTAAGTATCACAAAGGTAATGAAAGCACCAAGACCCAAGGGGAAAGTCTGACAAGGGCATCCAAGGGAGTTTGAAATGCCATCACTAAGAGCCCACACTTCACTCCAAAAGCTGACTCACTACTGTCAAGCCCCTGTAACAATAATAAACTGCGAGTGTAATTCAATAAACAGTAATAAATTAAACCCCTCCCTAAGCCATCTAAGTTGCCAACGTCATGGCACAAGCACAGAGGAGAGATCCTAGTAAGCACTCTCCTCTCAGACTGGGCTGACGTGGGGGGGGGGGAGGGTGTGATTACAAATGATGTTCTTAAACTATCACACCAGCAACCAGCACACTCTTGGCTTCTTAAAATGAGATTTCTCTTATAAATCACTCACTGAACAAGATGCCGAGAAAAGGCAAGTACTACACAGCAGGCAATGTAAGTAGCAGTACCTCTTTCAATTTAACGCTGATAAAAGGAAATATCTAAAATTATTTTATGGCTTTAGGAAAAACTACTATCTTTATTTACTTTTTCACATATTCATATCATCCAAAAACTTGTTTTTTTGTTTTTGTTTTTGAGGCCAAGTCTCACTCAGCCTAGCTCACAGCAGCGTCAAACTGAGCAAGAAATCCTCCTGCCTCAGCCTCTTGAGTATCTGGGACCATAGGCACCAGCACAGCACCCTGCTGATTGTTCCATTTCAGTAGAGCCAGGGTCTCACTCTTGCTCAGGCTGGTCTTGAACTCCTAAGGTCAAATGATTCACCTGCCTCAGCCCCCAGAATGGTAGGATTATAGGGATGAACCACTGTGCCCAGCCTCATCCCAAACATTTTTAACTAAGTTTCCGTATCAGAGGAAAAACCATGTAACATACACCACATGATTTAAGGGACCATAAATAAGGTATTTCTCCTGCCAAAATCTTGTGCAATGTCTTCTGGCACAATTTATTAAAACCAAATTTAACACTAGAGGGAGAAGACACGTTCAGTCACTCAAATGGGAAATAGCTCTTGGAAGTTCAATAAAAATAAAATATATAAAAATAAATTTAGGTTTTACTGTATTAAAAACCAAAATTCAAACAATCACCATCAGGACCATATTCTGATCAAAGCAGCTAACACTTCTCAAAAGGAAGGGTTCTGGGTCAGCCATGCTAAATACTATTCAGAGTTATAAAACCATCTTTTAGGTCAGTAAACCAAAACCAGACTATATATATCCACTGAATCTTTCAATTTATCTGTTTACCTACAAATTAACCAAATGAGAAACTGACCAGATCACAGAACAAAAGCTTCTACTGGGATGGAGGAGGAGGACATGGGTGGGAGCAAATTGTACAAATGTCTTTCTCCTCAACCTATGCCACTAGAAAAAAATAAAATCATCTGTCCTCTGAACTACCAATACACATTGCTGAAAAACTCTCCAACAATTTCAAGTAAGCAAGCCAAGAAAAATTAAGGGAATCACAGCTGGCAAAGCTACTGGGATCACCACATCTCACGTGGCAGAGGACAACCTATGAACCCAAGCTCATCGTAAGAGAGCCAAAACATGGGACAGGTCAGAGATTTCTTTGTAGGCTATGTGTAGAAAGATACAGAGCTGATGAAGTCGGCCAAAGGATGTTTGCCATGGTCTTCTATAAAATGTAGAGAAAATTTTCTAATAGAGGCCTGGCACAATGGTTCGCACCTGTAATCCTAGCACTCTAGGAGGCCAAGGCCGGAGGATCACTTGAGCTCAAGAGTTTGAGACCAAACTGAGCAAGAATGAGGAAAAATTAAAGGAAAAAAATGAATGATAAACAAAGAAATGCTTAAGCAGTACAGGCAGGTGCTTTCAAGAATAGAGAGAAAAAGAGCTTACCTGTTTGATTTATTTCAATTCGAGAACCATTAGTTATTTTGTCCAATAGCCTTATGAAGCTGGCTTCAAAATCTGTGAGGAAAAGAGAAACCAGATTGGCCCCATGTCAGGTCACCATTTTAGCACCTCTATTGCTATAGAGGGTCATTTGCTCCCTGTATCATACCTGAAAGCTCTCAGGAAATGGGTGAGCTCATGGGTTGAGGAAGATCAGACAGTTGAATAGCAACAACTGGTACATATCTGTCTAATAGAACTTAGAAACAGGCCAGGCACGGTGGCTCATGCCTTTAATCCTAGCACACAGTGAGGCCAAGGCAGGAAGAAGCACTGCTTGAGGCCAACAAGTTCCAAGTAGAACTTAGGAACAATTCAGCTTTCACATTACACACACAAAAAAGCAGCTCTACCATCAATCTAAGGGAGGGAGGGAGGAAAGAAGGAAAGAAGGAAAGAAAGAAAGAAAGAAATCAAGAAATCTAATGGGATATTAATTACAGCACCAAAAAAATCATAAAAAACGTTTTCCTGATCTCAGAAGGGCATGCCAAATAAGGGCCAAACAGCAGAAAACAGGGAAGGGTTTTTAAACCCCTTAAACTCTCCTTGCTCCCAAATACCCAAGGGGGGATATTAAATTGAGGGCCACTCTTCAGTCTCAGAAACAGAAAGACATCACTTCACTGTCTTCCTCATTCAACAATGTTCCTTCTCCCTTCAACTATCATCTTGATCTATCTATGTAAACCAATCTATTCAATTCAATCTTTTATTTCATTGAAAAGGAGCTTGAATGTACAGTAAAACTGTCACCTTTTTTTAAATAATTGAAAAATGACTGAAAGAAAAAAGACCAAATGTTAACAAATAGATACGATTTTATATAAATATTATATTAAATGTTTATACTTTTTGTTCAATTCCTTTTATAAATAGACTGCTATATAAAACATAAAAGCTGGTCTTTTTTTTTTGAGACAGAGCCTCAAGCTATTGCCCTGGGTAGTGTGCTGTCGTGTCACAGCTCACAGCAACCTCCAACTCCTGGGCTTAAGTGATTCTCTTGCCTCAGCCTCCCAAGTAGCTGGGACTACAGGTGCCTGCCATAATGCCTAGCTATTTTTTTGGTTGTAGTTGTCATTGTTTGGCAGGCCCAGGGCGGATTCGAACCCGCCAGCTCTGGTGTATCTGGCTGATGCCCTAGCTGCTTGAGCTACAGGTGCTGAGCCAAAGCTGGTCATTCTTTTAAAAAAGAGAGGGAGAAGGGAAGGAAAGAAAGTAAAGAGAATAGATTTTCAAACTGAAATTACAGGAAGAGGAATAAGGACTCAAATAGCAGACCATGTTCTCTGGCCTTCCCACGAGCTAATCTTATACATGCACACCTACTTTAGTTTTAATCTCCCGCCCATAAACAAAAACAGAAAGGTCAAGTCCCTGAAAGCTTGGTGACTGCTGATAGTCTTAGACACTTTGTGCTCCTGTAACAAACCACCAGAGTTTGTGGACACAGACCCCAGCAGTCACCTAAACTGATCCAAGAGAGTAAGCAGATGAACTAAGAATTCTCACCTACCTGATCTGTTACCTAACACTTGACATAATTCTTGTCATAGTTTCTGCAATCTGTACAAAGAGCACTGAAATCAGAGAAACTTCAGTAGATACTGAAACAATAATAGCTAATAACAGTTGCTATGTATCAAATACTTACTTTATATAATACTTTCTTTTATTTAATCCTCAAAGCACTGAAGCATAGACTTTGCTATGGTTTGAATGTCCCCTCCAAAATTCATGTTGAAATTTAATTGCCATTGTGACAGCATTAAGAGAAGGGCCATTAAGAGGTGATAATGCTAGCCGGGCATTGTGGCAGGCGCCTGTAGTCCCAGCTACTCGGGAGGCTAAGGCAAGAGAATCGCCTAAGCCCTGGAGTTGCAGGTTGCTGTGAGCTGTGGGACACCATGGCACCCTACCCAGGGCGACAAAGTGAGACTGTGTTACCCAAAAAAAAAAAGAGGCGATTATGCCATGAGGGCTCTGCCCTTATGAATGAATTTATGTCATTATCACAATAGTGTCTTATCACAATAGTGGGTTCATAGGAGTGGGCTATTATAACATGAGTCCAATAAGGAGCTTGTTAGTCCCTTGGGCAGTCAACTTACACAGGTTCTACTTTATTTTTTAAAATAAATTAGAACAGAATAGACTATAACAGAGTAAGTACATATACTAAGAGTGCTGTTTGTAAAATTTTAGTTTGTTTTACATAAGAAGCGGTTCTCAACCTGTGGGTGGACCCATAGGAACTGTATTAAAGGGCTGTGGCACTAGGAAGGTTGAGAACCACTGGTCAAGAGGCTGAGACAGAAGGATTTTGTGAGGCCAGGAGTTAGAAACTAACATGACAACATAGTGAGATTCCATTACTAAAAAAAATAAGAAAAACTGGCTAGGCCTGGTGGTGCATAGTTGTAGCCCTAACTAGGTAGGAGGGTGAAGTAGAAGGCTAACTTGAGCCTAGGAGTTTGAGGCTGCAGTAAGCTATGATCACACCACTGCATTCCAGTTGCAGGGACAGAGAGAGACCTCATGGAAATCGGGGATGAGGGGTACTCAGAGAGAAAATGCAAGGTACTCTGAACAAAAAAGGAAATCTCTTGATTTGCTCAAGCTTTCTAGGTGCCTAAATGGGAGAAAGGAACAAATATTTACAAATAGATCTCAAGATTAAACCCCATAACTTTTAAAAGAAAAAACCTGACTTTACAAATTGGGAGTAGAGGAATCCACAGGGGCTCTCGAACACAAATACAGTCAGAAATGCCCGGCAGGAACACACATAAGAGAATGGGCATAAAGCGACACCAGGCGTCACAGCAAACAGGTGCTTCAAAAGCAGCACTTTAAAGAAACCAGACACAGCTAGTTTCGGAACACTGGCAACAGTGAAGACATAGCTCCATCACCTGGTGTGAAAAAGATCTCAAGTTCATATAATAATAGTAAGATCAAAGCCCCCAAATTTCATTAAGCCAAGAAGCATAGGATTCCTTGCCCATTGACATCCCTCCCACATACTCCTTCTAACTCTTCCTCTTCACAAATGTTCTTAGAAATACAAAATTTCAGAAATCTAAAGATTTTTACAGGAAAAGTTCCAAAAGCAAGCACAATTTTACTACATTGTTTAGAAATATATAATGAGGTTGTAAAACTATAAAGAGAATCAAAGTGAATGTCGTAATGGTTAGGACACTGGCTACCACTGGTCGCAGGGTAAGAGCTATGAATCGTAAGATGTGCACTGAAGCTGGGAAAGTTCTGTTGCTTTACGCGGATGGGGACTGCATGTATGTTCATTTCATAAGCCCTTAAGCATTACTTCCACATCTTATGCGTTTTTTTAATGTTCCGTTATTTCACATTTTTTAAATTTTATAACTGTGTTGGGACCATCAAGTGATTTTTCACCACTTCTTTTCCTTTTTTGGTTAATTGGTACCAAAACATGGAATTGAACTATCATTGTTTTTCCAAAGCATTTGCATGTCCCATAAGACAGTGGAAGTCATCAGCCTGACCCGCTCCTCACTAAGAAAGGCAAAGGCATATCTCAAGGGGAAAAAAAAAAAAGGCAAGAGGAGAATACAATCTAAAAGTCTGTCCTTTTAAAACAAGGAACAAATTTCAATAAACACCTTCTCAATTTGTATTGTACCTCCAATGTCTACAAACACTGGGCCAGCTAAATTATGACACATCCGTATATCAAAACACTCTGTAGCATTATAATCAGTAAGGTTTTTCATAAACTACTGAGTCATTGCCAAGACACACTGAATGAAAAGATGCAGGTGACTACTTGTGTGAAAAAAGTGTTCAGATATGTGTGTGCACCATACATGTACACACACGCTTTTTTATGGAAAAATTAGCCCTGAAAGAAAAACTAATAACTCTGTTGGTTTCACAGATTCTCTAAAGCAAAGGTGGAGAACCCACAGCTTTAAGGCCACATGTGGCCTTCTAGGTCCTTAAGTGTAGCCTTTTAACTGAATCCAACTTTTACAGAACAAACGCTTTTACTTCTACTAATGTTTTTGTTCATCTTTTATATTTTTACTTTATTTTAAACAAACATATTTAAAATACCAAAGAATAAAGTAAATTTCAACAAAATATTCCTGTCAGATTGACCATCACAATTACAACATTAGTAAACCATAAGGGCTAAAGTGATGGCTGCTATGCTCATGATTTAGTCTAACTGCTCCCTCCTCCCCGTCTGGTGCCACTAACAAATGAGGCTGGGGTGAGTTAATGGGGGTCATGTAAGCCGCCTTCTTCTGTTATCAACTTTGGACATGAGCGTGTGTTTCTGTTTGAAGTGGAATTTGCAACTAGGTGCACAGCCCTACAGTATTTTTAAATTCTACTGCTAATCAGCACATCATGTCAAAGAAGACCAAGAGAACACTAAAGGATGAAAACAAATTTTTTAATGAGAATTAGGAATTACAATATTACCTTGTTTCTGCTAAAGATCAGGTTATTTGCTTGCTTTGTGATACTGCAAAGTGAACCTTAAAGAAATTTGATGCTCACTGGCATCACAACACTCAACAGGACCACAGACATTCTGAATTACAGGGAGACGCTTAAAGAGAGGTATCTCAGAAATGAAAAATGAAAAGCAAAAGCAAAGACAATTCTTTCAAGCAGCAGTAAAACCTGGAAATAATGCCACAGAAGCACCTTCTACAGAGAAGCCATTCAGTGAAACAGTGCCTTGTCAAACTGCCTCTTTCAGGGAGAACCCTAATAGATCAGCAGCATGAAAAAGCCTTCAACTTAACAGAACAACTACTTCAAAAGGAAAATACAGTATATATTATTCACTCACTTTGCATGAATCAACTGATACTACTGATTTGGCACAACTTTTATACTTCATTCAGGTCATAACAGATTTTCTTTGCTATAAAGAGTTACTCACTTTGGGCACTCTTGGGAACAAACCACTGGGAACAGATATCTTCAGTAACTTTCAAGAGAAATGTCGT